CCAAATTCTTGGGTACAGTGTCCTGGAGAATGGACATTTTCTAGCACCACCATCATTACTCTTGCATGGCATAGGGTTGAATTTAAGGTCCCTTCTAACTTTATGGTTTAATTTGATCATTCTTACCACCTTCACAACCATTTATCTCTCTCCACATTCTGATAGTTCAACATTCCCTTCAAAGTTCCATTATTGTGCATTGATTTTCACTTATTTTCAGGCATCTTGGAGGCTGATTGTCTATCAGAAAAGTAAGATATGAATATTTTAAATAAAAGAAATGAATAATAGCCCTAGTGAGATGAAAGGATAAGACTTCACATATTCTTATAAAGCTACTGACTTTGCAGTGAGCCAAAGAGCGATGGAAGGCTTATTGAAAAGCTCAAGTGCATTACCTAGTAGATTTGGAAGGGTTTCTTTGAAGAGGTGACCTGCATGCAAGATTGCAAAGTTCCCTTGTGTTTCAAAATCCATCTGCCAAGTGACATAAGAAGTTTGGCATTAGAGAAACCTAAGCCTAAAAGCTTTGTGGTTCTTGTCACACAATTCTTTGGAGCCTGGCCAGTGTTTTCAAATATTGTGACCAGCAAACTGGGATGCAATATACAACTATGTCACTTGCGCCAATGTGCATTTATGCAAGTGGACAATGTCACTTTCATTCTAACAAAAATTATATTTCTAATCATTTGTTTTCATTCCGCTCAGAAATACAATGTTTTTAGGCACTGAGATATTGCCAATAGATGTGATCAAGTAACTAACCTTGAGCTGTCACTTTTTTGTTGTTGGCAAAGTACAATTAAAAACAAAATGTGGAAATGCTGAGGGGATCTTTGGAAAGGAAACATGGAATGGTTAGTATTAAATTCTATTTCCCTGCTTTGACAGCTGTTGTGTCAAAAAGCTCCGCAACTACTTTTTAAAAGAAACATGTTTCTAAAGGAATAATTGCAAAATGGCACCCATGTTTCCAAGGACTTGTTGTGGGTTGTGGACTTATGCATGTATTGCTCAAATTAATTTTTTTAATTTTTCTTTATTGTATTGCTCAAATTAATGACAGCATCAGCATGCTGGCTTTGAGAACAAAGTCATCTCTTTTCTATAACTAGGAGGAGATAGCACACAGAAAATTGCAATACTAGTTTCCCCTACAGAATAATTGATGAACAAACTATAAGGCAACATCCATTGTCTATCAAACACCGTGCCATCTGTAGACTTCGCAAAACACATAACCTTTGGAAAATGGCAATTTTATAGTCCCCCAATTCTATTTTCACCTTTTTTCACCCAAAAGGGAAATATTGAGCTTAGCACACAACATGGACTAATGAAAGGTGGAAGCTTTATTTACTTATACATTTTTATCAGAAGGGATTGCATGCACTGTACATCTATATTTCCAGAAGAGAACCAAGTACAAGTTGCAGAGCTATGAAAGACATCAAGAAAAGCTAAGTAATTCCTTTATTTGCCGTAGCTGATTTGCCCCTTCTTACAAGAGGAAGCTGCTGATCTGGACTTAAGGCACTGCATGTCTGTTTATTTTTATTTTATTTACCATATTTATATACCACCTTTCTCAGCCCGAAGGCGACTCAAGGCGGTCAAGATGAATGTCAAGGCAAGAGCAACTGTGTTTGGCACTTAATACATAAGACCTAACAACTGTCAGGAAGAAAATTCTCTGTTAGTTAGAAATGCATTGTACGCAACTACATTGTGTGAAAAATACAGTTCTGATGGGCATGTGGTCACAGGACATTCCACTGAAGGGTTAAGCAAGTGGAAATGTGGACCTAGATGGATAGCTGAATCATGACCATGTGACAGTTATGACAAGAATTGCATCATTTCCTTGTGCGTATATAAGAAAGTGGCAGACAGGTGCAGATCCTCCATGATGTCTTCTTTGCCATGATGTCCGCTTGACACATTGATCTCTTGCCATGTGGTGCTTTTGCTATTCTGATAACTTGCCATATGGATATTGTGCCATGGTCCTATGCCACTGTTCACGTTGTGTTGTTGTGAGTATATCTCCATATATACTGATAGCAGAACTGATGTGTAACTGTATATAGCAATGAGTGAAGACTGGAGTCTCCAAAGAAGTTTGGATGAAAGTCAGAGCTCAAGTGCCTTATTAAAGCAGTGAGTGGCAAACAAGGTCAGATGCTATAAACCTCTGCTAACTACAGATAAGGACTCTGCAATGTTTTGGTTTGAGTTAGCTGCTTGCCTTGAGAGACATTTAGTCTCATGCACAGCTCTGGAAGGACATGAAATGGAATAGCCAGTGGGTGTTTGTTTATTTTAACCCCATGCTGACAATAACATTATCAAGAACCAACCCTAGGTCTCAGATTCTGGCCCAGAAACTTCAAGACCAGGATTAGCCCTGAACTAGCAATCCTTTAGATCTCATTTCCCTGGACAATATTAGTTTTCTGTTAAAGCAGGGCTGGGTAACACAAGTTAATCTGGGGATCATCATCTGATTTGCCGGTGGGAGGGGCCACACAAGCAAACAAAAAGGTAGGATAAACTAGCAAGATGTCTACTCCTGACATCTTTCTAGTTTGCAAAATTGGTATTTTTAAAGTGTTAAGCAAAGCTAATTGTGTGGGGTGGTGAATTACTGCTCTGGCAGGCTATAAGCAGAAATTTATATCTCTCCTGCGAAAATGGGCAGTATGGAGATATCTGGACGGACATAAGGAGGACAAAAACAGCTTTAAGGGCTGCACTTTAAACGCTGCACCTGAGTTGAAAGGCTGCTCGACTCCACGGCCAATGTACTATGGAGTCCCGCAGGTTTCAGTTTTGTCCCCTATGTTGTTTAACATATACATGAAGCCGTTGGGAGAGATCATCCGGAGTTTTGGGGT